GGGGGGAGCGGGGGAGGCAGCCAAGCAGCGAGATACATGCATATACACATCCATACCCACGGGTGCATTTCTGCTCCCCGCAGCCCTCGCACCCCACGTCTTCGGGCAGATGCAGCTGGGGAGCGGGTGGGATTCTCAGACGAACACAACATCTTACAAAATAAACACCGAGAGTAATGTTTTCTGCCTGTAGCACCGGGCCGAGTGGCAGTCTGTTGTCGGGAACTGCCCGTTTATCGATAAGGCTTTGCGCTGCAGAGACTTGGAGAGACTTGGAGGGCCCGCTGGTGCACGCTGGCACGGGGCTCGGGCTCGGAGGCAAGTCGGGAACGGTCCTGGGACTGAACGGGGAGAACGATGCCGGCAGCAATTCAAGGCGCCTCGTAGCTACTTAAACGTGAACCGATTGGTAATGTAGCTCTGGCTAGACTGTCCTCTGTGCCCAATATCTGCAAAATAAGGTCATGTCTGCATATGCATCTTAACCCACTTTCAGAGTCCAAAAAGTGCACTGAAGCAGCTTGGGTGAGATTCTGCTCCTTTAGCGTGTTCATTGTAACTGTATAGACTAGACACGTCTAACCATGTTTTGATTCATCTGAATTCTTTCATCCCTGCACAAGTCTAATACATGTAGAAATGCCACCCAGTTCTTGAAGTCTGCCTCTTCAGAAGTGCTGGGCTGGCATCCTCTGCATTGTGTTATGCAGACAAAATACAGTCAGTTATAGCCCTGAATAGAAGCATCATGTTTTGTTCTTATGAAAATCAGATATGAACAGTAAACGTATGTAAACACTGTGCTCTAACAGTATCCCAGGCAGTCATGCAGTCTTGTCACATCTGTTAAATTCGCTGTTGTACGTTTTCATACCTCTCCTGACTCTTTTTGGAGCACCAGTCTTTGTAATGACAGGAGAGAGGGTGCCACCTCTGTAGACTAGGGAAGGGGTGATACTACAGCAACCACAGCTGATGCCTGGAAGGTCAGTCTTGGCAGCTCCTCAGCTGCAAAAGGTGCATGATGAGGCAAAGTTTGGGAGATGTTTGCTGTTGTTATTTGTAAGTCCTCAACTCGTTGCTTGTGAGAAACAGGCAGGGAAGATGAACAGTCACTGCCACTCCTTTTCTTGGAGATGGTGGGAAGAAGTGCTTACAAGTACTGCTACATCCCAAGCACCCCAGACTTGGATGGTAAAGCTACTCATAGTATACATTTCTCCAGTCTCTGGCACTGAGCCCAGAGCCCAACCGGTACTCCACCATAGTGAACAGTACTAATCAGCTCTCTTAGTCTCTAAAACAAGATGGCCACATCCAAACTTCCTATTGGGTATGGTCCATGCTAACCCCCAAACCGCACCGCAAATTGTTCAAGAGAGCACTTGCTGCCCAGGGCAAAACCATGCCAAGGTCACCTTGAGGGTAGAGACAATCAACTTCCAGTCCCAAGAACATTTGCTGGCACTGTTTAATTCATTAGCATGGATGTAGCCCGAAAGTCTGTTAGTGAAAGTGCTTCCAAATGTCACAGATTTTGGCCAGTTGTGCAACAGTATTGTGGACTCCCATCTTCCCTTTTTTTCCCTAAGGGCTTGTTATTTAAAGATACTTTGGTATATGTATATGTATTTGATCTCTTCTTCTACAAAAATACCAATAAAGGAATCTGGCAGCAGGAAGTAAGAGAAGAAATGGATTATTAATATTAGGATTTCATCTACCTTGAATAGTTTTATCACTGATAAGAAATGGATAAACAGAAATTAAGCGTTAGATGCCATTCCATAACAACATGCAAGCTGCGTTTCTTACAGGTATATCCATGCACTCAGAGACAGGTTAAATTAATGGAGGACCATCCTACTACTTGGAGATCTCTGAAGCCCGGAGTCCTCTGAACATACCCCCTTCATTCCCTTCCTAATCCAACATGGAGTTTCCTCTGCTGGAGTTATACCACCCTGTAATTCCCTCTGCCTTGTCAGAAGACACTTAAAGCCGCTTTTCATCATTTCATTTCCAAACAGGATATACTACGCTGTAGGTGCATGTAGAGGGTTTTCATGGTTAAACATACCATTTAGGAATCAAACGTGGTACATAAGGATTCAGAAAGTTCCCAGTTAGCAGAAAACTTAAACACATAATAGCTTACTTCAGACATAATTTTAAGAGTCACTCTAAACAAGGTCTTGATTTTCCACAGTGCTCTGCAGCTGCTAATTTTCATTGTAACATAAGTTGTGATTTCCCCGAAACACCACTTCAACTCCTACATTCTTTTATCAGATGTGGTCCTTCTTTGGTGCCCAAAAGACACTCAGTACTGTACCTGAACAGGGAGTAGTTACACTGTGTGATGGTTCCTGTGAGAAAGCCAGCCCCAGGAGCTCCCTCTCCCATTCTCCACCCAGCACCTCCCAGCTCTGCGGCCCGCAGCCTTCCCAGCCCTCCTCTGCAGCCTGTGCCATACAGCTTTTTCTAGAGAGAGGTTTACTTCTAACGCAGCTCATTTCAGCAGCCCCATTTGCAACACAGCCCCACAAGTGGCTATCAGCACAGTATGTAGATTGGAAACTGGAGTGTGAGGTGAAATAAGGAAATTTTAAGCCAACTTCAGCCCTATAGCCAGTGTATGCTATAACTACACCATGTATCTCAAGGCTCCTCTGCACATTCCTCTGCACACAGAGAATAAAAATTACTCAGGAGTAACTGGAAAATAAGCTTATAAAGAATTGGGCTAAGCCGCTATCCTATTCACACTCAATAAGTGTTAAACTATTTGTTCTGTTGGACTTGTGTGTCAGGTAAGCATAATTTATCATGCAACCTTACTGATTTCAGGACTGTCACATTCCCCAGCGCTCTGTTCATCTGCTCATTTCCATTTTTGGTTGTCTACACTAGGGTTTCGTTATGCAGTTACATGTCACTGTTTAGTTTGATCTAGGTCAGACTGGTAACTCAAACAAAAACAAGCAGCACTTCAGTTTGTGCTAAACTGGTCAAATTTAAACTTAGGGGAGCCTAGATTTGAAAAGCTTTTGCATACCCACCAGCTTCTGTTACAGGGCACAAAACATCTTCAGCTAAAAAATACCTGTCCACCCAGAACAGGCCTATTAAACTGCTAGGAGATCTGTGTTAAACTAACCTTAGCCAGGATAGACATCATTTTCAAGACCATAGAAACAACCATTTGGCAGTGTCTCAGGCCTAAGTAGTGGCTCTGACAAACACCTGAGAGACTAATTTGTGCACAAAACTGGAAGCAGGGAACTGCACAGCAACTTATTGAGATCACCGTGTGAGGGAAATTTATTTTGGACCTGACTTCTGCCTATTAGGAATAATTTTGAAAGAGTATAACCTAACATGAAAGGATTTAATAATCTTCAACTGCTCCAAGCCAGTGAAGTGGATACTCTGGGGACACAATTTGGGAGGTAAAACAGGTTGTCATTGTGTTCGGCATGCCAACCAGGGAAGCTAGCTGAAAAATCCCTCTGTGTTCAGTTTTCACATTTTGGAGTGAAGCAAGCATTACCAGACTCAAGTTTTACACCCATATGTGATATGTCACCATAATGAAAATTCCACTTGTACCACCTTCACTGCTCCCCAGGAACGTAATTTTGCTAATCCTTCATGGTCTCTTAGAAACAGAGCCTGTAAAGGCTGGAAAAGTCATCTACAGCACTGGCTATGGTCTCAGGCAGCTGACAACTATACTGTTGGCTGTTCCTATACAACTTTGTTTAAGTCTAGCCCGAATATATGTATCAGTATCAGCTGAAATCACACCTTTGAATTGCAGTCTAGGTATACTCTAAGGAAAAATGTGTTTAAGTAAATACAGAGAGCCAGACTGGTTCTTTAATGAGTCTGGAAAGCAACTTCTGCCTTGGTAAGTAAGAAGGATCACAGCACCTAGCAAGCACTACTATTTGTATAAAGATTGGCTAGAAATAAACACATGCACAGCAAGGTCTGCTTTTCTCTAATATCACATGTAGAAAACAGTACTGTTTGGTAAATGTAAAAACCTAAGCACTACAGTACTTAAAATACTGGGGCAAATCTCAACAAAAATTATGACAGCAAGGACTTGAATGGTCAATGCCCTGTCCTGCTTTTAGCATTAGACGGTGAACTTGGCTGGTCAGACATTCAGCTGGATTCAGCAGGCATTCAACCAGATTGTGGTGCAAACAAAGCGTGTTTCCATGAAATGAGGCAAATTCAGGGAAATCTGAAGAGCTGTATTATGTGGAAATTTGAACTAGAAGATCACTGTAGTCTCTTCCAGCACAATATTCTGTCTTTTCAAAAGCTTAGCCGGTTGCCTTATGCATCACTGAACTCAAGGCCTGCAACAAAGCTCATTTAGGGGATGGATAAATCTTTTAATTAATCTCAATAGGCTTTGGATGAGGTCCTAGCAGAAACTATGATTTAGCAGCTCATGGAACTACAAAAGAAGCAAAAGTCTCTTTTATCACTCATAGTGAGTGGACAAGAATTATAGTGAATACTAAAAACAGGCGGGTGGAAGATCATTCCATGGTAGTAGGAGGGCACATTCCTTGCTTGGATGTAAGCCTGAAGAATTTGCTGGAAAGTACTGACAGGAGCATAGGATATAAAGCTCTCCCAGAAGTTCTCAGTAATAACACTTCTGATGCTGGTTCTCATGATGGAATCTGTCAAAACATTTTACGCTACGCTGATGAAGGGTGTGCCACACACTGAAACTTGCCCTGAGCTATCAGGGTGGAGTTTCATGAAAATCTGGTCTGCACGGCAATTAATATCTCTTTTCCTAGTACCTGAAGACATCTCTCTTGATAAATAATGTTATTTGCAAATTCACTTCCAACTTGAACTGTTACTCCAGGCATAGTGGATAGGATTCACCTGGTCAAATGTGGACTCTGTAATTGTCTACAACTAGTTATTTATATTCTCTGGATAGATAATGCAGCAAAGTAGGCACTTTTCAGACCAGATTTATAGGACTCATTAAGATACCAAAGTTTGAATGAGCAGATATTCAAAAGTGGCCTTCTAAATTAATCAAGTGAATCCCATCCTAAAAGTACCAATTTCTGTTAAATGTCTAAACAGGGAGTCAAGACAAGTAGTT